ACGGCACCTTTCTCTGCCAGAAACTGCCTGAATAGCTTTTCCCCCTCACTACCCTTGATCAGGGATGCAAACACATGTATGGTCATAAAAGAGAGAGGTAATCAAAGCCCTCGCCCCGCGACAAATATCCAGATACCAGTACTTACATTGCCACCATCCCCTGCCATCCCCGGCCCACCCCTATAGGCACATAGAGTAAAATGAAATTCAAATAAAGTTGACAAAAAAGGTTTTATAAAAAGATAAACCTCACATATTTCAGCCTTTAAATCATTTTTATAAAAAGAATGAGTCAAAAAGATAAATTACTGACATTTACAATGCACATTAGCGTATCTTTTATTATTAATAGTAAAATTCAGTCCGATTTTCCCGTGGCATCTGTTGTTGCTATGCAACCATGCTCTGAGCTCTCCACGACGACAAAGTTATAGTAGCTAATGGATTTCCACCACCAAAAAACGCTTGCTGTAGCTCGGCTACAAGATTTATTTACGGAGAAGAGAAAAACACCTGTAGTGTTTGGGTGCACCCCCATCCTTCATGTTGACTCGACTGAGCTTTCAATGTTGTTACGGAAAGGGTGAAGCTGATTGGTTGGTTCTTGTCACATGAACTGCGGTGCGCTTGCGGCATTCTGAAAAGTTGAGGCGTTTTCATCTCGCTGCGCCTAGAAAAAATGAGCGCGTCGCTTCAATTATGAGCACGCTTGCCGCGTGCCTACATTTGAAATAACGAACTTGAGTGCGCAAAAGACACAACATATTAACGGCCCCTTGACGAGCTACCTCCAGCGAGCGACGTGTTGGAGACCCCTGCCATAGACAGTAAAAGATATGCAGCAAGAAGAAACACTAGTGGTTCACGCTTGCGCGCATACTGACATAATCCAGAATAAACTGTAAATCATCTATGATTTTACAGTCTAGACAGATTTGATGGAAGATAATTGTAATATAATTCCTGTAGCATGGTGATGTATCCACTACTCACAGAACCTCCATTTTAAATTGAAATTCACAGAACCCCCATCAGGAATTGATTGGATCATTGTCATTTGCTAATTCATGCGAGTGGCAGGTAGCTGGAAGGTATGGAGGGTGAGAAGGTAATGTTTTTATTTAAAGATTACAAGGGCACATATCTTGATGGAAAATTTATTTATAATAAACACTGCAATATTCAATGTCAGTTTTGATTTTATGTGGACTTTAATCATCCTGACAATGTTAGTGGAAACTGAGACCTGGAAATGATTCAACAATGAAACCATTTCGCAAGTGATAAAGCATGGATATTTTCTCACCGAAAGAATATTCGTCACCCATCCTTGTAATTCTGTCAACTATTTTCATTGGCAGTTGGCCAATTGCATTGTCGCAATAGTCAGAAACAGAAATGTGCTCTCCTGACAGTAAAATAGTTCAGTTTAACTGAATTATTTCATACTTTTGTTTAATTCGAACACAAAACCATGCTTTAAGCAAATCTCAAACATTCTGTTCATTATCCAAATTTCAACCAACCCACCCTCCGCCACGGTCAACAAAAACTAACAAAATGCAACATGGATGTAATGTTTTTCAAGTGAACTTCAGTTGAAAATATTGTTTCATCATTTCTTTTTCATTATAAAAATTGTCTGGATTGTTAAAGTGAAGGAGAGTGACAAAATGGAGTTGTGCAATATACATTTGGCTTTAGTTTTTCTCCACGGTAATAAACAGATCTTTTTAGCGTAGGAAGAACAGTATGCTATAAAACAGAATGGGTGGTCTAAGATTACAACAGATGCACAAACAGTACATATTTAATCTAACTGCACATAAGGTCACAAGGCCTTACACTTGGTGTAATGTAATATTCTGGGTTCAATACAAGTTTAGCTCAACCAACAGGACTTGTGGCACATTCATTTCCACAAAAATTAAAGGTACATTATGTAACCTTTTGACCTCTATCGGTTAAAAAACAGAACAGCATGCATGTTTTTTTATGGAAGAACATGTTTTGGTTGTGCTTCGGCTCTGCGTGACTGTGCGGATGAATATGGTAATCTATACAGCTCATAAACATTCACTACTTGGCTTAAGAGATCTAACCAGTTTAGATGGAAAGGATCTCAAGCTGACTAGCTGAAGACGTTACTGTAGCTTTACCCATTAATAGACACGGTAGGTACTTCCTTGAATAAATTCCAGCACAGCGCTACAACCATAATGAAATGACCTTTTCACAATAGATAATGCTTTACAATAAACCTTGTTAGTGAGATATGGGTTATCTGTTCAATAAAATAACTTATTTAACTGAGTAATAAAAACGCACCTCTGCATTGCTTTATTTTACAACATTTCAAATCCCTCAGTTCTCGGCATCTCCGAAAATCCAAGCTAATGCTGATTCACGTTTTATTACGAGCTCTGTCGCGTTCTCTTTTTGCCTGCAGACTCTCTTCTGTTCTGAGTATCATTACGGGTAATTCAAGATTTAGCTGCTCCATGTCAACCTTTCTCTCTTATTGTGACAACTAACCTATACCGCTCCCACACCATACACGCGTCGAAGGAGCAACTGTTCTCTATTTACAGATATGAGACGCGCACGGTCGAGTTAAGTGATGTGTACGTGATTTCCCACAAAAACCATCCCGCCCCGTCTAAAATATAAACGCTTATAATGGCTACCGAATGGGTTAGACAAAAACACGCTTGGGAAGGATTGACGATGTATTGACTCATTATTAAAATTGTTAATTTTGAACAAAAAAAAGTTACACACAGTGTACCTTTTATTTTGAATGTTGAAATACTGGTTCAATAGTGTAGCCACAAGACAACAATATGCATGTCAAAATTACTTGTGGAAGAAAAAAAAAAGAAAAAAAAACACTTTGTAGTTACTGTGTAGTTATCCAATTTTGTAGCTATGTTGCCCTGACAATGAAACACCTTAAAAGACCGTAAGATGACGAGAACATTTTTACAACATTTTTTGTAATACAGTGCCGTATAGTAACCTAGATTGTTGGTATGTTATTATTTCACAAATACTGTTTTTTTTTTTTTTTTAAGTCAGCATGAAACAAAAGTTGTGATTGTCTACATTGGGACATACACTCACCGGCCACTTTATTAGGTACCCCATGCTAGTAACGGGTTGGACCCCCTTTTGCCTTCAGAACTGCTTCAATTCTTCGTGGCATAGATTCAACAAGGTGCTGGAAGCATTCCTCAGGGAGTTTGGTCCATATTGACATGATGGCATCACACAGTTGCCGCAGATTTGTCGGCTGCACATCCATGATGCGAATCTCCCGTTCCACCACATCCCAAAGATGCTCTATTGGGTTGAGATCTGGTGACTGTGGAGGCCATTTTAGTACAGTGAACTCATTGTCATGTTCAAGAAACCAATTTGAAATGATTAGAGCTTTGTGACATGGTGGAAGTAGCCATCAGAGGATGGGTACATGGTGGCCATAAAGGGATGGACATGGTCAGAAACAATGCTCAGGTAGGCCGTGGCATTTAAACGATGCCCAATTGGCACTAAGGGGCCTAAAGTGTGCCAGGAAAACATCCCCCACACCATTACACCACCACCACCAGCCTGCACAGTGGTAACAAGGCATGATGGTTCCATGTTCTCATTCTGTTTACGCCAAATTCTGACTCTAACATCTGAATGTCTCAACAGAAATCGAGACTCATCAGACCAGGCAACATTTTTCCAGTCTTCAACTGTTCAATTTTGGTGAGCTCTTGCAAATTGTAGCCTCTTTTTCCTATTTGTAGTGGAGATGAGTGGTACCCGGTGGAGTCTTCTGCTGTTGTAGCCCATCCGCCTCAAGGTTGTGCGTGTTGTGGCTTCACAAATGCTTTGCTGCATACCTTGGTTGTAACGAGTGGTTATTTCAGTCACTGTTGCCCTTCTATCAGCTCGAACCAGTCTGGCCATTCTCCTCTGACCTCTGGCATCAACAAGGCATTTCCGCCCACAGAACTGCCGCTCACTGGAAGTTTTTTCTTTTTCGGACCATTCTCTGTAAACCCTAGAGATGGTTGTGCGTGAAAATCCCAGTAGATTAGCAGTTTCTGAAATACTCAGACCAGCCCTTCTGGCACCAACAATCATGCCACGTTCAAAGTCACTCAAATCAACTTTCTTCCCCATACTGATGCTCGGTTTGAACTGCAGGAGATTGTCTTGACCATGTCTACATGCCTAAATGCACTGAGTTGCCGCCATGTGATTGGCTGCTTAGAAATTAAGTGTTAACGAGCAGTTGGACAGGTGTATCTAATAAAGTGGCCGGTGAGTGTATATCCAAGTGAAATGGCTTCTCAAAAAAGAAAAAAATGGCGGGGCATGATTTTCTCCATCAGGAATTGATTGGATAGTTGTGGTTTGCCATTGCTGTGATCTCATGTGAGTGACAGGTTGTCCCGCCCTCACGGCAGTAAACGTCATCAGATTAAGAGGGCTTATGAATAAAAAAATAAAAAAAATGATGATGTGCATGGATAAATAATTTAGCCTACAGATATTACAATATTCCATAAAAAAATAAGTTCTGTCGATTTTGATTTCATGGTAACTTTAACTTGTAGTCTTTTAGAAGTTTTAAGTTGGGCCAAAGAGGATTTTCAAATCATGTATTTTGCTGCATCACATATTTTTAACTCAGCTGCTATGAACTGCAAATGTCCTTTATGCTATTGTCCAAAGCACACATTATTGCACACATGTCCAAATCTAATATGCATTTTTCAAACTTGCCACATCATGCTTGCATTTTTTTACAGCGAGTATTCTGACTGTGAACATACGCAATAGTTCCCCACCTACTACATTCTACTCCTATCTAAAGCCACTACTTGTATTGACTGACCTTTAACTGAACCAAAAGATTTTGTTTGCTCAGATTGCAGAACCCTAATAGCCATCCATCCATCTCATCTATAATTCTGCAGCTTCATTGGAACAAAATTATAACATCAGGGACTTAAATATGGTTTATTTATAATGTAAAATCCAAAATTTTTACACTAAAATTCATGTGTGCTATTGCTCAGACATGCACAAGAGATTGAGGCTGATCCATAAATTATAACTGAAGTTATAAGGATAGGTTTGACTTAAATATCTGATTAACTGAATATTGACTCTTCTGTTGAATCTTTTGCAGAAAGAATATAGACAATGTATTTTTTTTTACACACAGCAATGCTTAATGTTGAAATTCATTACAGCAACAAAGATATGATCCAATTAGGTAGCATCTAACCAGTATAAAGAGAGAGTCAAAGCTCAAGGTCTGGCTAAAACCTAGCAAAAATATGTTTAGTAGTATATGAGCTTGTCTAAATGTGCATCATAGTACAAAAGACATTACAAACAAATAGTAAAAACAGAATGAAAACAAAAACAATTCTTGGCTTCCAGGTGGGAAATGAAGGTCACTGCATTTTAACAAACATTATAATGTTTCAACCTCCTCTGGATAAACAAGTTTAACTTGAACATGGTCGCTCAGTGCTTCATTCTCCCGGTACACATACACAGGAGAGCTCTGGGGTCGTGTGTAACCTTCGACCTCTTCCTTACTCTCACCTGCAAGGTCACAAAGAGAGGTCACACAGGGGTCATGTTCCTGCAAGGCTGTTGGATAGCGCAGAGCAGTTTTCTCAATCCGCACTGAACGCCGCACTGGGGTAAAGAAACGGATTTCGTGACCGTCTACTTGTCCTGATTCCACTCCCTGCTGACTCCTTTTCCCCCTTAAATTGTGCAAGAGAATACAAAGTAATCAGACATTACTACATTTATTGCAGAAAAGAGAGCAGAGAATCATCCTGACCTACTTATGGCCTAACAATCATACTTGGTGGAGCTGGACTTTTGGAAAATGTGTTCATTTCCTGTATTAAATGATTGTATTAGTAGGACTGGGTTGAATATATCATTTTCTCGAGTGTAATCAGTTCTCATTTTGATGAACCAATATTAATTTAGTCTATGCTGTTATCATGCTGATGTGGAGTTGTATTTTACAGACAAACACCCTATATAAATATCACAGTCTAATCATATTAAGGCTCATGTTTAAATGTTAGGTTTTTTTTAGACAAATATAAGCTGTTACCTTGTAAAAATTTCTTATAGTGAGCATACATTTGTAGATTAAAAGCTCAAATATAATTTCATGGGTTGTACAATGTTATGTTGATTATTTCAATTATTTTAAATGTGGAAAATTGTATTAAAGAATGAGGAGTTGTATTCAAAGTTTTACTGCTACTATAAAGAAGTAAATATGACTCAAAATATTTCAATTTATTATTATTTTGGTAACACTTAACAATAAGGTTCATTAGCTAACATTAGTTAATGTATTACCGTAACTAACACGAACTAACGATGAGCATTACAATTTGTTACAGTATTTATTGATCTTTGTTAATGTTAGTTCACAGTGCATTACCTAATGTTAACAAATACAACCTTTGTTTTTTAATAATATATTAGTAAATGTTGAAATTCATATTAACTAAGATTGATAAATGCTGAAGTAGTATTGTTCATTCTTAGTTCCTGTTAACTAAAGTAGTTGAACCTTAACTAAACTAATGAACCTTATTGTAAAGTCAAGTGTTACCATTATTTTATTTAAATACAAAAAAGAAACTGAATTTTACATCTATAACAGTCCTAACATTATGCTACTTATTCCAAAGAATATTTAGGCAACAGTGCACATGAGATCAAGGTTATTCAAATTCAAGTTGGAGTGTGTGTGTGTCGTACCCTGGGGTGGCTGTAATTTTATATTTGACGACAGACGAGTCTCCCCTCATTCCACATATGAGGGCCCCTACAGGTTTTGGAGTACACATGACGTCACCGACTTCCTGTTCGTCATGCATCCTAGTCTCTACCATTTCAGGCTCTTTTGGCATCGGAGACGTACCTGAATGATTTAAAACATAGTGATATATTTTTTTTTTTATTCATTTACATTTATGCATTTAGCAGACACTTATCCAAAGTGTTTACAATACTTTTTATTGCTAGCCTGGGTTTCCCCATGCTGCCTTTGCGCAGCGTGATTTTATTCACGCTGCTAGGATGATTCCATGGACCAGATATTAGATATTGTTCTAAGTAGTTTAGAACGCAAGTTTATTTTGAAAAAAAGAGCAGCTTTTGGCGTTAAACCGCTCTACATACGTCATCTGGTATAATTGAAACGATTAGCTATGAGCTACGTACAGGCCAGGGATGGAAATTAGCACCAGCCACATGCTGGTGATTTTGTGTTGTGGCTGGTAAACTCGCTTCACCTAGCAGCCACCGTCACTGGGTTGAAAGATTTCATTGAGGACAAATATTAATGCTACACCATACACAGTTATGACTGGAATAGCCAAATCCATTTTTGGTCCAGTCATTTTAAGCCAAAATGGGGGTCAACCTAGAACAAATTGCAACAGAAGCAAACTCAACTGATTTTGTATCCTCAATATGTCCTGAGTAAGGAAAAAAAAGCCAGATGGCAAAAAGCCAAAATGTCTTGTAGAATCTTGATGAAGATTCTACAAGACATTTTCACCTGGCTATACCCAATGTTTAGATATGTTGTGTTATTTATGCAAATTAGCACATACGTAATTAGATTATGCACTGTTTGACCATGTTAACAAACAATTTCAAAAAACTTGTAATACATTTTTTCACTCTTCCAAGCTTTAAAATGGCAGTGAATGGCCGTTTATGTTTTGAAGTCCATTAAAGTGCATCCATCCATAATAAAAGTGCTCCACACGGCTCCGGGGGTAAATAAAGGCCTTCTGAAGAGAAGCGATGCGTTTGTGTAAGAAAAATATCCAATTTAAAACTTTTTCAAATAACTAGCTTCCAGCTTGTATTATTGGCACTTCTTGCCTTCTTAAGATGAATTGTTTCTTGTATACCTCAACTGTATGTCGCTTTGAATAAAAGCGTTTGCTAAATGAATAAATGTAAATTATTTCTGAAGGACCATATGGCACTGAAGACTGGAGTAATGATTCTGAAAATTCAGCTTTGCCATCACAGGAATCAATTACAATTTAAAATATATTTGAATATTTTAAATATATTTTAAAGCAGTTATTTTAATTTGTAATAATATTACACAAAACACACTTGTACACTAATAATCCACACCTAATCCAAACCCAAGCAATTGCAAAAATATGTACTGTATGTGACTGTATGGCAGAAATATGGATTACTCATCCTCTTACTTTACCTTGAATCTGACTCTTTTTAAGGATCTCAAATACCACAGATCGTAGTTCATCCACTGGCTGTTGAGAAAACCCACATTAAGTGAAAACAAGTCTGTTACTCATGCACATGTGTCTCTTTGATTTGCTGTTACTGTAAGTTTTGGCCTAAGGAGTAACTGGTATTAGCTTATTTCAAAATACTAACAAAACTATGTCTTAAATTCGTAATTTCCCCCCTAAACGACTACCGTTAACCGATCATTTTTACCATTAACCGACAAGATTATGTTAAACTAGAATTAAATTAGAATTGTCAGTATTGTCAGACTGCGTGCACCCGTCCAAAGTACACCAGAGTTACCGCTACCTTCTTTCATTGAAAAATGTTATGCCACCGACTAGCTGTGAGCCTTACGCCGTTTCTGTTTCAGTTCTGCTTTAAATTAATTCGCTTTGGCATTTATATAGTTACTTTTATTTTTCATCCCTGTTCTGAATACTGTTAAAATCAAAAAAGATTTATTGTGGAGTTTGTAAACATTTCGCATTACTAACCCATATTTTACATCAATGCAATAATAAAATACAACTTGTACGCAAATTGTTTATTTTCTCTCAAAAAAACTATTTTATATGTACAGCATATTTTTTTAACCATGCAGCAAGCATTTTCAAAGAAATCTTGAAAATAATACTTTTTTAAAAATGTTTAACCGACAGTGTTAATCTGTCAAAATTCTTGCTGTCGGTTAATGCTTAAACAGTTCATTATGAGCATCCCAACTATGTCTATTTTTCGGTTGGTGGTTCAATCCCCGGTTCAACCTGACCAAGTGTCGAGGTGTCCATGAGCAAGACACCTAACCCGAGCTGCTCCCGACGAGCTGGATGGCGCCTTGCATGGCTGACACCGCCGTCGGTGTATGAATGAGTGAGTGAATGGGTGAATGTGAGGCAATATGTAAAGCGCTTTGGTGGCCATTGGGTCTTTGAAAGCGCTATATAAATGCAGTCCATTTATCATTTAATGGGCTTCTCAGATTATCAGACTAAAACAAAAAAAGCAACAAGCAAAAGAAAATACCGGTACTATCAATAAGAAAAAAAAAAGTGTGTATGTTTAAGAGACAAAGAGAGACTGACCTCTCTCACTACACGGATGGCCTCCTGGAACATGGGCAGGACCTCCAGGTTTCCTTCTCTTTCCATTAGTCTGGCCTGGCAGATCCAGTATTTAGCAAACTTCTGTGCCATTGGCACCCGAGACAGCACATCTCTGACCTTTTCCACCGGGAAACCCTGTCAGATAAAAGACACAAACAGCATTGGATCAGTTCTCAATATGCTTGTGAGCACTAAAAGTCCTCTCCCCTCCCTCTCATTTCAACGGGAGCGGACTTTTCACGAGAGATGATATCCCAAGCACTTGCTATGGTATTCTGCCATACAATATAGTTATCCATTTTACACGCTTAGAAAAGCGCAACGTTTTATTTTGTGTCACCGTCCTAGGTCGAGTTACACTACTCGTGTAACTGTATTTAAATAGGGAACACGTGGAGGTGTTTGGTCGCTTCTCTTCTGGGCCTGTATTGAATGAACAGGGCTGAGATAAGATCTAACAAAGTTTCGCCGCAAGACAGCGATTTAGTGCACGCACTGAGACGAGAGAGGTATGTATCAACTCGTCTTAGTTAAGGGAATAACAGTTTAATATGAAAAACCAGTAGAGTATCCCTTTAAAGGAAAGCATCATCTAATTAGATTCAAATTTGTATTCATTAAAGATGTTCCACATAAATACAGGAGTACAATGCAACTTGTACTGCATAGCTCAAGAAGACCATAAATTCTGAGCAGTGAGACTGTTGTACAAGAATGGTAAACATCATGGTCAATTTATGCCAGTAAATGGCAAATACATGTGATCTGTTCAACCAAGGCAGGACAAGGAAGCATTATGATAAGGTATTGTTATAACTGTATAACTCATATCATAACTGTATGCAGTCAAATGTTGGAATGACAATGGCTGGTCTAAAAAAATTACACTTTAACCCCTATCACACATACAATCTTTACTGGTAAACTAAATTACCAAAGATCATGTGTGAACAGTCCTTTTCAAAAATACTGGTAAATCGGTTCTGGCAATTTACAAACTACTTTACGGGAAGTTCTTACATTACCAGTGTGGTGGATTTTTAAAAGATAAGATTACCGGTAATTATGTTACTAACCATCAAAATCTGATTTTAGATTTTTATCTTATGATAAACTTTTATCACACTTCCCATTTTTATGTCTGATGGTGACTAACTTTTCATTCTAGATCTAACAATAAAACAACATAAATCTTACTTCCTTTTATTTAGGATGTAGCCATCAGACTTTCGATATGATCTAACCTTCTAACAAACTTTTGACTCAATGTAACCTTGGTCAATGGACTAAACGTTCCGTTCTTTGACTATTGTTTTTTGATGATACAGGATATTTTTGCTGATGTCACCAACAAAGGGAAATGAAGGGATGAAGCCAGACACATCTTCTAATCTGATGTGTCTGGCTTTATCCTATAAAGCTTGTTGTATTCTTCTTTTGGGTTGAGATTCTCTGAGAACTATTCGAGAACTCCCGGCCGTAATAAAGAACATTTAAAGGACAAGAAGTCTGTCAGTCATTTAAAATGCGAAGCAAGCAAACAAGTAAATTAGAATTATAGGATTAGACTCGGCTGAAGACTCGCTGGAGTATAGGATTAGACGGATGCTGTAGTAGATTGAAGACTCGCTGAAGTGTAAACTTAGCTAACGTCAATGTATAGGCGCGCTAGAGTATAATTATTAAAGGTACGTAGTTAGGTTTAGAAAAAAAAAAAAAATCTACAACACTAGTTAATCCAGTATTATGCTGTGTGTGAACGCAGGATGAAGATTACCGGTAAGAGTACAAAGTCAGAACGGCTGACGTAAGAAATCTCCTTTGGGACAATCGGAGTTCTTATGGAAGTAATTTTGGTAATTTTACGGTAATTTACCTGGATTGCTGTGTGAAAGCGCTTTTGGCCTAAAAGGGTTTAATGTGCTTTTTTTCACGTGGTAACGTAAACATTGCAGTTGGTCCATCTGACAATGGTGGAATTGAAAGTTCAAAATGTTTACCGTTTATTAATTACAACTAGACCCAGTCATTCCTCGTCTAGACAGTTATTATCCAGCACTTTTGAGGGTTACAATACAAAAAATGGCAGTGCTTCTCCAAAACTTTGTGGTCACGATAAAAAAAAAAAAAAATTAAAAGAGAAACTAAAAAGAGTCATTGTGAGGTTTGAATATTAAGATTAAGAAATCGCATTATTAATTATATATATATATATATATATATACTGTGTATATATATATATATATATATTAGGGCCGGGACTTTAACACGTTAATTAAGATTAATTAATTACAGACTTTAACACGTTAATTAATTACACAAATTATTTTAATCACACTTAGTTTTGCACCGCGGAACGTTTCTCACTAGATGAGTTTCGGCGGACCGATTATACTGGCGCACCAACTAGCGTTCATGACGAAGAAGCTGACGAGATCGCTTTGGTTGGCCGGTGGATGGGAAATTTTGTTATAAAAAGCGAATGGATGGAAGCGTCGATAAGAGCATGGTTGCGTGCAAGCTATGCAACAAGGAATTCGCTATTGCTATTAGTGTAGTGTAGCAATATGTATTAATGGCAAAAATTGCACTGGTCTGCTGGACTTGGTTGAACAAAAATAAACTATTTTGTTGCTTAAGCTTATGTATTCAGTCATTATTCAATAGTATACTAAAAATCCATGTGAAAAAAATTACTTCTCACTGTTCTCAGGTCAAATTTTTATGCAATTAAAATGCGATTAATTTCGATTAATTACAAAGCCTCTAATTAATTAGATTAATTTTTTTAATCGAGTCCCGGCCCTAATATATATATATTTAAAAACTGTTAATAAAAGGTAATCTAAAAATAAAATGATCATTTTCATTCAAATGTATTTATTTAATTTTCAAAAACTTGCACTTAGAATCCCGTTTTCAAACGTTTGCATTTTCAGGCCTCCAAAACGCTGTTGTCGTGTAAATGAACGGCCAAAACAGAAAAAGTTTTCCATTTTTAGTTGAAAACAGTGTCGTGTAAACGGCCCCTGAGGCTTTCCTCTTTGAGAGACTGTTCTCTTCTGGTCCCAGCACTTATTTCTGTTGTGTAACTTCAAGTGGTCAAGTGAACACTAAGGAAGGTATACTGTGTGCTAACTTCTGTGTGAGTAACCCTGAGTTTGTAGTTAGTGTTAACCTGTTGGAGTGTGTTAATGAAAGTAACCCCTTTTATTGTATTAATCTTTGTAGTGTTCAGATCTGCAAACTCACAAGAGGTGAAAAAGGTGACATGTTTACAAATTAAAGGTGCAGTATGTATATCAACTATGTGGAGCGTGATTTTGTACCAGTCAGAAGTCACTGCTGGCTGGTTCGAACAGCAATTCAGATTTCCATGGAAAAACATGCTTTGTTGCATCACCCCTTATAATGCCGATTAATTTAATTACTCATTTTAAAAAAGTAGAAACTCATATTATAATAATAATACCTGCTGTAATAATTTAATGCAGTCATCTAGTGACCGGTCCACAGCAAAGACAATGTTATGAACTTCATCTTCTTTCTCGATAGAAGCCCAGTATGGCTGAGGAATAGCAGAGACCGTCTTCCTCCTCACCAGACGGACAGGCATGGGAGGACGTTTATATGTGATGCCCCTCGATTCCCGCCACTCCTGGAGCTTACACCTGCACAGACAACACTTCTGTTAGGGTTTGACCCATACACACAAAAAAAACCCTATACTTAGGTCCCTACAGGGATCGTTCACCCAAAAAAGAAAACTCTGTTATCATTTACTCACCCTCATGTCGTTCCAAACACATACAGAAGCTTTAAACTGCCCCTACTATGGTTTTTCGAATATTCCCTTTCATGCAGTACTTTGCCGATATTTAGGAAACATGCTAAGTTCACATACTCGTTTCTCTGAAAAACAATGCTACAGTTAGTTAAACTTAAGTAAACTTACAGTCTCTGCTCCTGAGCTGCAGTCGGCTTCTTCCTTCCATCTACCGGGGCTGTTCGGACACCTTGAGTGCTGGGACAGAAACTGGATTTAGGGGTCTGAAATTGCACTGCAGGCTTGGCCTGGCTGGATCTCTTGGCGGGCCGCTGAAGCTCTTGGGGCGCAGTGCTTGTCTGTGGCAATACACAACTCTTGGTGTTTCGACTGAGGAGTTTGGTCGAAGCAGTGGCACTAATTGGTTTAACAGTAATATTCTGCTTATTTTTGATGATAGCTGATCCTTCACCATTTGCAGGTTTAGATAAAGTAGAGACACTTGTTCTTGTTACTCTGTTTGTGACAGAGCAATGCGATTTCGTTTTTGTGGCATCCACTTTTGTGATGATGCATGAAATATCCTTTCTCTGGTTCACGTCAAATCTGTTTGTCGCCGAATTCGATTTTCGGCTCATGGGTTTACTGATCTGAGAACTGCTGTTGTGAATCCCAAACTTGGGTACAGCACTTTGACTCCTGGTTTGCTGTGTTAGTTTTGCCTGGGGTTTAGAAACAATGTTTGTCTGAATTTTTGTCCCAGTTGTGCTCATTGGTCTTTGACTCTTCAAATTAGCAGTTGATGCTGTTTTGATGGCTGTTTCTGCTAATTTCTTAGCCAAAGGCCGTGTCGACTGAAGCTCCGTCTTGGTACGGGACGTTTGATCTGTGCGTCTGTGAGCAGAGATGCCATATCCAGACTTTGAAGGGCCACAGACTGAAACAAGACTTGATTTTCTTGACTTTTGAGTTGTATTTGAAGCTGGCTGTGCTTGATGGGCTTTGTGTTGGTCATTTTGAAGGCTTTGTGGACGAGTCCTATTTGCGGCATGGATTGATGCAGGAGTTTCCTCAGCTTTGTGTGGTTTCCTTGTATTTTGAAGAGAAGCAGTGCTATTGCGTTGTGTCTTTAAGATTAGTAAAGTATTACAGGAATTACTGGAAGACTGTGCTGGGGCTTTGGCTAGTGAATGGAGGCTGAGTCCTTTTTTTGTGGATGTGTTTTTATTAACCTCTGCCAATTTCTTCACTCTCTTCACTTCTTTTACATTTGTGCCATTGATGCCACAATTCTCCTTTGCATCACCTCTCTGAGAGAAATAAAGAGACATCAATTCATCAGTCTACACTTTCAACATAGAATACTGCAAAATTTCAATGTAATTCTAACTTACAATTTTGTCCTTTTGATTATTTTCAGCATGTTTTTTTGTAACAGGTTTGTCCTTGAGATATGGTCTTTGAGTAAAATAAAAAAACAAGTTTATTCAGAAGATAAACACAACATTATATGGTGATTATATAAATGGTGAAAATATTTCCATTTTTTATTTTTAAAATAATGAATTACAAATTCAACAATTGTTACAGACAGAAAGATCCTTTAAGACCACCTACTTTGGATTAGGTGCTTTCAGTCTTCCTTTTCCCACCAGATATTCTGCCAATTTCAGTTTGCGTTGCTCTGTAAATGAAAGGGAAATCCATTTAACATACCTGCATGCATTTAATACATTTTATAGATGTGCTAGTTTTGTGTTTCCCATATATTTTGTGTCTTGTATATTTTTAATCAAATAATGATATAAATCAAATCAATATTTCATGTCCATTTCATATCAAATATAGCCTATGTTTATTTGATAAGGACAATGTTGTCAGAAAAAATACAAAACATTTAGGATGATGCCCAGACACAGATAATAGAACTTTTGCCATTTTAGAAGTAAAAGTAGTTTCTTCATGAACTATTTGAATAATGTCCTAATAAGGAGGTTAGGCTTTGACATTTGATAGTCATGCATATAGTGGTATGCTATACTCCAACTACAACTAGTTTAAACAGCATTTTGCTAATCCTTTTATATAAAAGGATTAGCAAAATGCTGTTTAAAATAGTTGGAGTTTGATTTGCATGACGTTTATCTGCATGACTGTTTTAACAAACTAGTAAAGGCAAGCAAGAAGGACTAACGCTAATGATGGAAAATGTTAACCTGATACGGATACAGGAAGTATTATTAAGATTATTTTGTACCTTTATTAAGCTGTTTTCCAGAGGGAAAGATGAGGTGACACCACAAGTAATTACATTTAACGTTAGTCCCCTCATAAGGCAAAAGCTGTGCCTCTTTCAATCACGCGCGCACACAGTGCTACACATAATACACATAATAAACACATCGCTATGGTACTGCAGTGTTTTGAACATCAGCTCATTGGTTTTCACATCAATATTAGATGATTTTCCAAATTATATTCTTGACATAACTACCGGCAACTATAATTTAGCGGTATAAAACTAAACAAATGTGAATCGATAGGAACAATAAATATCCAACAGCGTACATGATGCATATTATGACTAGCCTGGTGTTAGCTTATAGGAGAGCGCTTTACCTATCTTAGATAGTTTAGATACGTCTCCCTCCGTCACTGTTTCCATTGCTTTATCCGATCATCCACAATAAATTTCGTATTTGTTTATAACTTTATAAACGAGTCTATTAGCACACAGACACGGTGTTGCTAACCCAACGTCCAACACATTCTCCACCAAACTGTCGCTTGAATTTGACGGGGGCACGCCCATCTCCTTTCCCATTGGTTCGTTCAAATATTTGGATACCGGCTATTGGTTCGTCAGTTTTGATGATTCATATGATTGGATGATTCGTCAAATCGGTACTTAACCGCTGCCATTTATGTTTGAGGGGCTGTTCTATTTCAAAACAATAATATACGGTAATATGTTTGCCTCTGCGTTGAGGTGACTAATTGTATTTAGGTATCTATATCCTCCTGGGACCCAAGAATAGACTTTTGTCCACTGTAGTGGACATTATATTTTAGTGAATTTCTCTGACATCATACATGTCACATGACACAACCTGGGTGTCCTGTAAAGAGCACATTCAGGACTTTTCAGAGATACCAAATGTTTGGAGGTTTCACCATGAAAACAACTTCTCCTTGGTCTTTAAAAATGTCTGACATTAATTTAGTGATCAAATGTAGCATTCTTATGGAAATATGATAATATAGTGTAATTATAATATAAATTGGACTACTTTTCAAATTGTATTTCATAAAACAACATCTCAGGAAAATGTTAAGGGGTTTAAAAAAAAAAAACTTTCTGTTACAGAACAGGGCATTGATTTCAAACGTGTCCACTGTAGAGGACATCAGGACTAAAATCATGTTTATCAGGCATTCTGGGAGACACAACAAGTGAATATGGAAATAAATTATACATCAATATTCCTATGAAATGTTAGATATTATTATTAAAATGTTGCCAATTATTACTCCAATTATTACCCTTTATTCTTTCATTAAATGTTGCTCCCAGAACACATTAATGTGCAAATTAGATACAGTGTATAGATACATTGCATTGAATGGGAATATTAACTTATGGCCATTCTACCCACATATTGCAAAAAGTAAAATGGTGTATCAATTCATTCCATTATTTCTTTCATAACATAGTTGAGAATAATCTTTATACAAATTTTGGTTGAAAAAATCCTGAAACCCCTAAATGTATTGGTGATTGAAAAAAAAATCCCATTGTTTTTGCCTATACATATAATTTCATGTCATTTTATTTTTTAAACAACTTAGTCCTGGCGTCCACTACAGAGGACATAGCATAACGTATGAATAAAATATTATTTTATATATATGTTTTTTTTACCATTTGTTTATTGTGCTCTAAACAGTGTGATGACATGGAAAAAAACTAAATTCAAAAAACTTGTTTTTTCTGGGTCTCAGGAGGATATGACATAAACCATGTGAAATCCTTTATAAAAAAGGTCAGATTTTCACACAAGATGCTTTTTTAGTTTGGAACATTTTGAAATCATACTGCATCATTCATCAGGGTTTTGCTCATGTATGTCAATATATAATTTGCAATGCTAATAGTACACCAGAATTAAAATAGAATTTTTCAAGTTTCTTACATCAATCTTAAATATTTTCGAATTGTCCCATCTCCCTTTTAAGCAGAGCGTGACTGGAGAGGAAACATTAGAAGTGCATTATAAGTTTTCAAGTGTCAATAACCAGTAAGCTTAATTATGAATTTTACTTAAGCAGATATTTTTGTCATGATCTTTCAGTTTATTCTCCAGTGCATCATATTGCATCTGTCACGGTTTATGCATCCAGCATTTTCAGTGTTTAAACACCTGGTTAGGTCTTCAAAAATGCAATACATAAATAAAACATGCTGAAATATATAGACTTGTGTCCGAAAGCTGAAAAATGCTGCCTTCTGAGGATACAATCTAAGGAATGAAGGCATCAAGAAACATACAAATCAATGTTAACTTCACTTCCCACACTTGCTTCATCTGAACAATTTTTGAAGGCAGCTGTATCTTTTTGCCTTTGATATCCCACAAACCTGTGCATTCCAGTTCCTGTGCAACAGTGGAGCAAAAATAAATAAATAATAATAACGATGGCATCTGAAAGTTGTGGTTGGTGGTCAGATTGTGAGTAAATGTTTTGACCAATGTGTCCCCCGGCCTTAGGGACAATTTGTTCTGCATGGGAGTTTTTTTGTTTGTTTTTTACACCACATGCAAGACAGACAAATACACAACATTAATAGCACATTAGGAAAACAAAATTTGAAATGACCTCTTCCTATTTAAATTAAGAAAACGTATGGCACATGGTATTGAAATCTATTTGTCTTGGCCCTATACAAAGATCCTGAGGGGAGGGTCTGAAATGCATCATAAAGATGTGTGAGATGTGTCAGATATGGTGTGACGCGCTTTCTTTATCACCTGCATATCAAACGAATCTGACAACCCAGGCAATTTTTACACCCAATACTTTATGGCAGTCATTTACAACCTTTGACAATGTCATCAATTCTGTTCAAATTAAATTTGGCTAATTTCCACAGACAATAAAGTCTTTGTTGACTCATCTTACACCGTCTATATCAGTATTCTCTGCTAAATTAAATTTATTATTATCGATAATAGTGCCTATAGGTACTTATAACTTTCGACCAATTCAATCGAATGATTATCGATAATCGTACACGGCACTACTGCCTGATTACAGATCAATACACATATCCTTGGTTTATTCAGAAGTAGACCATGAGTTACCTTCCTGTTCAAGTGCTAAAGTCATTTACTAATAGTGCAGCGAGGCAACAAGTCAGCTTCCTAATCTTTCAGACGCAGCCATAATATCTAAAAGATGTGCATCTGATTCAGGCTCAGGCCTTAGTTCTTCATTCAAAGCTGGCTTATCTTTCTCATGAACATCATCAACATTAGTCAGTACCAGTGTTAAGAGTAACACATTACAAGTAACTTGAGTTAGGTAATCAGATTACTTTTTCAAGTAACTATAAGTAACACATTACTTTTAAATTTACAACAAAATATCTGAGTTGCATTTTTTTTTTTAAATAAGTAACGGAAGTTACTTAGTTTTCCCCTTTATTGAGTGACACTTCTCCTGTCCACATGAGAGAAATCGGGAGTAAGTGCAGAGACATGATGGTTATTGTAGACTGAATGTGAGCAGGGATTTACTCTCACTTGCACAAAAACAGATTCAATATTCCTCAAAATGAATAAAAACAGTAAAATGCCAACTCAGAATATTGCGCAAACTTGCAATATGTTAAATTACACAAATGTACTTTTTTTTTATCTCACTTTAACTAATGTATTTTTTGCTGACATTCAATTATCCAATTCAATACTCATAAGCAAAAATGACTAGCTAAATATCACAATTTTTTTTTTTTTTTTTTTTTCATTGAATGTTGAACTTTCTTCTCGTATCCTATATTCTTCTACAATCTACAATGGCAGCACAGCTGAAAGGTTTGTTTGAGCTGCGTCCTCTACTCCGTACAGGTGTGTATTTGCATTTCATTCAGCCTGAGGCTTATTCATTACACTTTTGGTGTGAAAGGGACTTTCCATTAACTTTTTTTTTTGTTATTAAAAAATAAACAAGTAAGCCTAGTCCAGGTGAAAAAAATTAACAAAAAGTTATGTAACGCATCACTTCCCACTAAAAGTAACTATGCAACACAATTAGTTTTTTTTTTTTTTGAGGGAGTAATGCAATAGGCCTACTTTTAAAAGTAACTTTCCCCAACACCGGTCAGTACACCTGCTGATGACTTAATGCAGATTGCAGAACATCTGAATTGTTAAACAGCACTTTTGCTGTGCTTAACAGTGGAAGAGTCAGAGGGAAAGCTGGATGATTTACAGAATAAATCACACTTAACAATGGAAAAACAGGAAATGATTCATATAAAGTCATATAAAAGGACTACATCCCTTTAGTCCTTTTACACATTCTCATTTGAGGTTTATAAAATAGCACTGATTAGGAATACAAGAATATGAAACATATTACACTGATTAAATAAATAATTTAATAGCCAAACTCAGATCATCTAAAAGAAGACCTTTCCCAAACCACAAAATAACTTGGAAAAATACAGTATAAAAAGAATCAATAAGTTGTTACACCTTCAGTTTCCATTAAAGAAACAAAAATAATCTGTGTTAACTCGCAATGTATTTCATTACTAATTTGAGAAGGACAGGAAATAACTTGATTAACAGTTTGAACGAACAGGGAGTGTTTTCTTAAAAAAAATTTAAAAAAAAAGAAGAAAAAAAACTGAGCAGCTGTCAACAGCCAAAAATAGAAATACACAGTGCAGTTCTTGCACCCCTTTTTATCATAATCGAGAGATGCTACATAATTGAAGAGGCTTTTGTGTCCATGTGTCCAAGCAAGATATCTTCCATGTTCTCATCAGTTTCAAACATATTTGGTATGAAAGCAAAAGACTTGCACAGAGGCAAAAAAGGCAAAGAAACAGTACATTTTATGAAGTCACTTCCTGAACCTGCCATCTCCTAGTTTTAGGCATCTACAATTTGTAGTCTGTACCATGTCAACCAGCATATAAAACGCACAGCAATTTTAAGAAATCACACACAAAAATAATAATAATAAAAAAGAAAAAATCATTTAAAAAATATACAACCTCAACTGAATTCTAAATAAATACAGCAAAGAGTAAAATTCTTTTGGTTAGATTACCTCTGGTCCAATGGGAGCAACAGATACAGTTCGAGAGCTCGAATCACACAGAAACGTCTTGTGCAGAAAAGTGACTCCAATTACAGTTGTACTACAACGACAAATGCTTGTTCTCTTTGGAGTAAAAAAAAAAAAAGTCAATGCATTATTTTCAAAAGGACAATTTTACACATACACAAACACTGCATCACATTAACAAACCTCCACAGACAACCAGCAGAAATATCGGACATAGAAATGACATGTGGATGCCATGTGTATGAGATGCAGTGTATCTTAGTATTTCACTGTTTGGTGCATTTGACGACAGCATGCTTCACTTTTTTTGATCACTTGTCGCATGGGTTCACGTAAATCAATAGGGAATTATCGAACATGCAATTAGTATGTGAAGCTCAGCGTCTCCCTGAGTTGTTGCTTACGTGGGCTGCAACGGCCAAATCGGACTCATGCGTTGTCGTATATACAAACATACACTGGCACGTATATCTCTATCACAAACTCACTTTCATTTTCACTCTCACACACATATAGAATTTGGTACAAATATGACAGAGCTATGGACTAACACCAAATAAAAAGGGATCCACAGTTTCCCTCATTCGCGTTTCTGTGAGCAACCTCAATAGAAAAATGACAAAATAAACATCTTCATGTATATAGAAACGGCTCTTTTCGCACAGTCTATAAAACACCCCAGAGAGTCTGTCTGAAACAGGGGTCCTTTCTCAGTCCAGATACACTTTGGCTTCTCTGTGCCTTCGTCTTGCACAATGGGTTACACAAAGTCTTCTTTAGATGTCTCGGCAAACTATTGCTCTTCGTAGACCCACACTGGTATACTGTAATGGCTAGCGCTAAAACGGGTCTGGGAAAAAGTGCTAAATGTCCAATGGGTGTGTGGGATATCGGTGAATTGTGTGTGAGTGTGTCAAATGGCACTCTCGTTGTGTGTGCTGTGGTTGGCCTGGCACGTGGGTTGGCTGTTCTGTTCAATGAGGAGCGAGGTCGTCTCATCGGGGGCATCCGTGAGCGAGAGCATGTTTTCCGACGAGGGATCGGGAATGGATGATGTGCTGTTATTCACACGGCCGTGTCCGCTGTCTGGAGACTGGGGCGAGCTGTCCAGCCGAGACGCCATCAGACCGTTTTGATACTGAGAGCGTGTGATCTGGAAAACAGGAAGAGATGGAAAGGTATTGTGAGGGTTTTTTGGAATATCTTGTGGAATTTCTGGATGGATGAAGGAATAAACCATATTAGTGACGCACCGAAATTAATTAAACAAAACCAAAATGAAAGTTTTCATTGAGCTGAAAACAGAAACCGAAAATTAAGTTCAATGAAGCATACATAAACATCTGAATTGTACATTGGGCAGTTTTTATATCAACCTTTTTATTATTATATAACTATGTTGAAATATAAATATTTAAACGGTAGCTGTAGTAAGAACTTGTTTTCATTTTAAACTTAAGACAACAGGTTAAGCAAAAATTGTATCAATATATATAGCAAAATGCTTTATATATTTAGCCTCCCGAGAGTTATTTTTTCTAGTTGACTAGTTATGGTCATTGAATGGCTTTTAAATGTAATGTGTGTAAATACATAATGTAAATACGTGACATTGTTTACACGCTGTTCTGTTGATTGAGCGATGATACATTTCAGTATGTTCTACTATATCTTTCACTTGTTTATTTCGTGCTATAACTAGTAGTAAAGATGATCGGTTCACGTGCCGTTTGTATTTTGCTATAAAAATGACAGAATTAAAAGATGAGATTTTGCTTCATATCAAAAGTAACAAAGCTTATTGCGGTTTTTGTATGGTAGGTGCGCTACAAATAAAGTTTAGTGAAGTTTTGCTCACGCATCAACTGAAAACAGCATAGACTAAATGAAGATAGAATAAAGTCGGCTTCTAGAACAAGAAAATAATTTAGGGCGGGGCTTGATTTTGTCAATGGGGAATTGATTGGATGGTTGAATCGTTGTGGTTTTCTATAGGTGGGTCCTTTGTGAGTGACAGGTTGTCCCCGCCCTCGCACCAGTAAACGTAGAGTATTGAAGAAATTTTGCTGCAAGAAGGGAAGGGGAAGTTATTTTGATTAAATATAACGATGAATATAACGATGGCACATGAATAAAAAAATAAATATGTGCACGGATAAATTATTTACAATTAAAAACGCAAATATTTCCTTTCATTGATTTTAAAATGAGAAATCAATATCGTCAACTCAGCCCTAGTGTCCACCCGACACACATGTAGCAGACATGTTTACCTGTTGTAGTTTATCCACATTGTGCACATGAAACATACGCTGGCACAGCCAAAACGTGCAATTGTAGAAGCGCTAATTAAATGTCACCGTTTTGGATTTCGGCCTTCCATAACGGTTTTGACCATTTCTGGTGCATCACTAACACCATATCTTTACCTTCACAAACTGTAGGTCTGCCAGAGCTCGGACATTGAAGTCTGGTGTGTACTGTGGCAATGGAGCGCTGCTGAGCTGCGTGTTGCTGCCACCAACAGACTGAGGTTCAGGGTGATCCGAGTAGTTTAGAGACGCAGATCGGTTGAGTCCGCTGATGTGAGAGGGCGAGCGGAATTCTGAAACACACACATGGAATGTTGAAAAGGTGTGAGAGAGGAGGGCGAGTAAATGATAACAGACGGGCCTACACGATGATGATATACAGTGTGTATAGGAGTTACAGTGCAAAAAATATAATAAATAAAAAATAAACCAAAAAACTAAATAATACTTTTATCAGCAAGGACGCATTCATTGATCAACTGGACTTTGTTTATTAAGCATGCAGGGCAACCACCCAGTAGAGCATTACAATAATCTAGCCTTGAGTTCATGAACAGTTAGAACTGAAAAGTTCATACGATATCAATACAAACATTTTTCTATTTCCCAAGATTATGAAAGGGATTTTACAACCAGAACCCTACCTTTTAATTGCAAATTTGAACATTTTTAAAAAGAGATAGTAAAAGGCAACAGAGAGAGATGGTAAATGAAGTAAATGAAGATGAATACCACATGCCCTTTAGCCTTGTAAATGTCCTCCATTTCCAACAAGTTAATAAGCCAAAAAAACTGGACGGTAGAAAATGAGTGTTCTCATCTGCTCACAGTTTTGTCCTTGGGAAAGTGCTGACACTCTGGATGCACTTTCGTGTGTTTTTTAAAAGGTCAACAGTTCATGCTTTTACCATGATAAGAAAAAACTTCCCTGCTGATTCATTCTGTACACATTTTTTAAGTGAAAGACCATATCAAATTTAAATTTGGTTAGAATCAAGATCCCCTTCCTATCGAACTCTTTTACCTTGCAGTCATAATAGCAAGCAAAAGGTATTAAAATGCCCATACAATCAATGCATCAGCACATTTCCACATCTGCAATGCATTATTAATTGAGAGAGAGAGAGAGAGAGAGAGAGAGAGAGAGAGAGAGAGAGAGAGAGAGAGAGAGAGAGAGAGAGAGAGAGAGAGAGAGAGAGAGAGAGAGAGAGAGAGAGAGAGAGAGAGAGAGAATGCCATGCAAACACATTCATCATCACTACAAGGTGGTAGTAGAGAGGTTCAGAGAAGAGAGTTAAAGGAGTAGTTCACCCAAAAATGAATACAGGGCACATAAAATACACTCACCTAAAGGATTATTAGGAACACCATACTAATACTGTGTTTGACCCCCTTTCGCCTTCAGAACTGCCTTAATTCTACGTGGCATTGATTCAACAAGGTGCTGAAAGCATTCTTTAGAAATGTTGGCCCATTTTGATAGGATAGCATCTTGCAGTTGATGGAGATTTGTGGGATGCACATCCAGGGCACGAAGCTCCCGTTCCACCACATCCCAAAGATGCTCTATTGGGTTGAGATCTGGTGACTGTGGGGGCCATTTTAGTACAGTGAACTCATTGTCATGTTCAAGAAACCAATTTGAAATGATTCGAGCTTTGTGACATGGTGCATTATCCTGCTGGAAGTAGCCATCAGAGGATGGGTACATGGTTGCCATAAAGGGATGGACATGGTCAGAAACAATGCTCAGGTAGGCCGTTGCATTTAAACGATGCCCAATTGGCACTAAGGGGCCTAAAGTGTGCCAAGAAAACATCCCCCACACCATTACACCACAGTGGTAACAAGGCATGATGGATCCATGTTCTCATTCTGTTTACGCCAAATTCTGACTCTACCATCTGAATGTCTCAACAGAAATCGAGACTCATCAGACCAGGCAACATTCGTCTTCAACTGTCCAATTTTGGTGAGCTCTTGCAAATTGTAGCCTCTTTTTCCTATTTGTAGTGGAGATGAGTGGTACCCGGTGGGGTCTTCTGCTGTTGTAGCCCATCCGCCTCAAGGTTGTGCGTGTTGTGGCTTCACAAATGCTTTGCTGCATACCTCGGTTGTAACAAGTGGTTATTTCAGTCAAAGTTGCTCTTCTATCAGCTTGAATCAGTCGGCCCATTCTCCTCTGACCTCTAGCATCAACAAGGCATTTTCGCCCACAGGACTGCCGCATACTGGATGTTTTTCCCTTTTCACACCATTCTTTGTAAACCCTAGAAATGGTTGTGCGTGAAAATCTCAGTAACTGAGCAGATTGTGAAATACTCAGACCGGCCCGTCTGGCACCAACAACCATGCCACGTTCAAAATTCTTTCCCATTCTGACATTCAGTTTGGAGTTCAGGAGATTGTCTTGACCAGGACCACACCCCTAAATGCATTGAAGCAACTGCCATGTGATTGGTTGATTAGATAATTACATTAATGAGAAATTGAACAGGTGTTCCTAATAAACCTTTAGGTGAGTGTATAAGACAATGCAGGAACTCATGGTCGTTCAAAGTTCGGGGTTTTACGAAAGAAAGCTATTCAGCAAGGATGCATTTAATAGATCAAAAGTAACAGTAAAGGCATTTATAATGTTACAAATGATTTTGATATCAAATAAATGCTGTTCTTTTCAACTTTCTGTTCCTCAAAGAATCCTGAAAAAAATTTATTATGGTTTCCACACAACTGTCTTGAGCAGCAAATCAGCACATTAGAATGATTTCTGAAGGATCATGTGACACTGAAGACTGGAGGAATGATGCTGAAAATTCAGCTTTACCATCACAGGAACTAATAACATTGTAAACTAAAAAATAACATTAAAAAAATAATCCTACCAACCCCAAATTTTTTAAAGCTAGCGTACATATTTAGAGTTGTTGTTGTAATGTGTGTAAGTGTGTAAGAATGAATACATTATGATGTTAAGAAACACCAGACAAAAGGATAAAGGTATGCAGATGGATATCACACAGATAAAGGCAAGCTCCACTCAGATATCACCACCTACTGGCACAGTCTAAGTACAGCAACCCACAGTTGGATAGTTCACCCAAAAGAAAAAAATGATTTCATAATTTTATCATTTCAAAATTATGTCATTATTTATTCCCTCTCATTGTCCTGTGTGAAATTATTATTTCTTCTATCAAACAAAAAATAAGCCATCCTGAGGAATGTCAAGCCCCAAAAAGACATATTAAAGCACCATTACAGCATCCACATTTTGAGCCTTACATTATTATTACAAAAAAGACACAAATTTAATTTGATATTCACTGAAAATGCTTGCACATATTCATTATATGGACCGTTTTTATGGTGCTTTTTGTGGCTTGAAAGTGTCTACTTGTACATTTATAGAAAAGAGCTGCTTTTCTGCTAAATATCTTGGCATATCTTATCTTGTGTCCCACAAAGAAACAAATTCATACAGGCTTGGAACATGTGGGTGAGAACTGATCTGATCAAATCTACGATAAATCTAAGTGATACGTTATTGGTGCCTGTAAACAAAAAACCTATCTACTTTACTATTCTTCTGCAAAAACAATCACTGTTAATCAGTCTGACCCTTCCCTGTCAGTGGTTAGAGCCCCGACATGCCGGCAGTTACCTGGGAAACGAGAGAAGAGAGAGCATCTCTTAAGAGACAGGTGACGAGGACGAGACACACTCACTGGGAGCGAGAGAGAGAAAGACAGATTGATGGGACATGTAAGACAGGGTTGAGGGAAGAGGGAAGTCCAGGTAGAGGGAAAACACAAGAAGACACGCACTACCGTTCAAAAGATTGGGGTCAGTGAGATGTTTTTTAAGTAATTAATACTTTTATTACAGCAAGGACGCTTTAAATAGATCAAAAATGACAGTAAAGCCATGTATAATGGTACAAAAGATTTCTATTTCAAATAAATGCTGTTCAACTTTCTATCCATCAAAGAATCCTGAAAAAGATTAGAGAGATTTCACTCTTAGAAAAAAAGGTTCAATGGGATTCTAAATAGAGCCCACATGTTCTTGGCTCAATTTTAAAGAACACTTTATGCCAAAAACGTTCTAAATAAGGAAATACTTTCATGATTAATTCATACAATTTAAACCAAATTAAAAACAATTAAAACCAAATTAATTCAAATTAAATGTATAAAGTGGTCTCCTGATGTGAACCCCTAAAAGGGTCTATCTATGGAGACCTGACAGAAACACTTTAAGGTTCTACAAAGCACCCTTTCTTCTAAGAGTTAATTATTTTTTAATTTATTCCTATGGTTTATTTCCATATTATGAATTATGGTATAATTATGGTATAATTTTAAATCCTATATGTGGGCTTTAATTTTTTTAACCATTTTTGATCAAATAAAGCAGCCTTGGGTGAGCATTGGAATTTCCTTTCAAAAACATTAAAAAAATTGTATGAATCCCAAACCTTTGAACGATAGTGTACATTCATGAGCACAGATAGAAAAACACCAGCATGACCTCTATTATAAATAAAGTGTTAATAGACCCAAAAATGTATATTTATTTACTCGCCCTGATGACAATCCAAAAAGGACTTACTTTCTTTTGTGGAACGCAAAAGGAGATCATGTGCGGAACATTCACGCTGCTCTTTGTGTGAGGGAAAAAACTGAAATTGAAGTCATTAATAAATCCCTATAAAGCCTCCTCTCCATCACAGCTCTCAAATCTCATTCGCACAGATATAATTATGCACATGAAGATGCATTACATCATGCTGGTTGTTGAACAGGTGGAATATAAGAAGAAACCTCGACTATATGCAAGCTACGGCAGAGCCAGTGACTTCAACTTTGGTCTGTTCCTCACACAAAGCTATCGTATGGACTCAAAATGCTTATACGGTGGAAGTTGTATGAAATACTTTTATGATGCTTTTTCTGTCCTTTTTGGAGCTTCCCATTTTCTTACATGACAAAGGGCAACATCCACATTCAGCCAACAATCTCCTTTTGTACACCACTGAAAATCATACAGGTTTGGAATGACGGTGAGTGACGGTAAATTATGACAATTTTCATTTATGGGTGAACTAACACTTTAAATGAACTAAGAGGAAGCAGATGGCCACTAGAGGGCGATGATCTACAGCTTTTTCAGAGCTCAACAAGTAAAGATGGGTGGCCTGGAAAGTCCCAGTATCCCACTTGAGATAATTATAATTATGAGTGATTAGTGGCAAAGCCAATTGTTGCTTTAAAGTATTTTCCCATCTGTTGTTGAACCCTTTCATAATGTGGCCTTTACCATAATGCACACACAGATGCACAAACAAGACCACCTACTGTTCATCCATGCACAAATCCGAAAGGATAGTCTGTAGGATATGATCTTTAAACAGACTATCCTGACGTCGAGTCACTTAATATATGATCCCACAGCTTTGAAGGGGTCAGTAACACAATATGTAGTATGTTTGTGCATGTTGGTAAATCAAATATTAGAGGTTTAGACTGTCCTATCGATTCCTATTTTGAAGTTGTTGATAAAAAGAAGTATGAAAAGAGTCTTGGTTTGCATGCATTTCTGATGTATGTTTTACTTTGTGTGTGTTTGACTCACCTAGTGTTGGAGCGCTGAGAGCCATGACTCCATAGAAAGAGAAAGGTCCAGTCTCAAACTTCATGTTTTCATTCCCAGCCTCCACCTCCACACGGCCCTGTAAACAATAAAGGAAGATGATTCTGGGTGGGTTTTTTAAAACAACCACTGCAACAACAAAAATAATAATAATAATAATAAAATTGTAATTTGATATCAGAAAGTGCATAAATTGTAGGTTTAAGCAAAGTAAAAACACAATTATTCTGAAATATTATTACAATTTAAAATAACTGTTTTCTTATTTAAATGTATTTGAACATGTAATTTATTCCTGTGATGTCAAAGGTGAATTTTCAGCATCATTACTCCAGTCTTCAGTGTCACATGATCCTTCAGAAATCGTTCTAATATGATGATTTGCTGCTCAAGAAACATTTCTTATTATTATCAATGTTGAAAACTGCTGTGCTGCTAAATTATTTGAGGAAAACATGATCATTTTTTATCAGGATTCTTTGATGAATAGACCGTTTAAAAGAGCAGGATTTATTTGAAATAGAATGTCTTAAATATCTTTACTGTAACTTTTGATTAAATTAATGCGTCTTTGCTGAATAAAAGCATACATTTTTTCAAAACTAAATTTACTGACCCCAAACTTCTGAATGGTAGTGTAAATTCTGATGAAAATCTGCTCAGTTAAAAAAAAAAAATTATTGCTGAAACAAGCACAGTACTCTTTTCAAAATTTTGACAAGCTCGAAAAATGGACAAAAAAGGTATTGTACAAAAAAGTAGTACAAATAGCCACATGACAGCTTCATGCGAGAAAGTCAAATTAAAGTTACTAATCACTGAAAATCATGTCTTCGATTGAAGGTCTGCTGATGAAAGTATGCTTTCATTGCATTGAAATCAGAAGCATGAACATTTTTCAAAACATCTTCTCTTTGTGTTGTATGGAAAAAAGGGTTTGAGTGTGTGAATAAATGATAGATTTTTCATTTTTAGGTGAACTAAACCTTTGAATGAATTGGAGACATAGTGGAGATGAGATCATACCACAAGACTAGTTTCCCAGAAGCACCACCACATAGGTGGACAGACACATAAATGAACAACTAGCTTTAGACCGAGAAGGCCCTGAGTGGATTAAAACGATAGGAGTGAGTGAATGTGAGCTCTGGTCAAGAGGAATGTGAGAACTGTAGCACAGTAAATCCACTGAGACAACAATGATGCTCTGAGAGAGGGGGCCGAATACCACGAGTGACGGATGTCCACATAATGAGGTGCACAATGCAGTGACACACACACACACACACACACACACACCGCTGCGAACATCAAGGTAGTTAGATTGTTTGCAGGGAGGGATTGCAGCAGCTGCATGAATCCCGTTTTTCTGGAAAGATCAGATCAATCACGTTTCACAAATATGCAAACTGACAGAGAAAGACCTCCAGGACAAAAAGTACAGACACACAAACATCAGAAATGGAGAGGAGAGATCTTTAAATAGGTCGTCCTGACTGTCATTGTGCCACTTAATAGGCAAATCCACGACTGTGAGAAGGGTGTAAATATATGTGTATACCCTTCATATGTGTATGAAGGGTGTGGTAAATATAAAGGTAAAAGTTCACATTTGTCCTTTATAAACACGCATAACAAGCAAATCCCGCCTTAGGATGTCAACAACAAACAATCTCGCATATCCAGTTCTTACAAATACAGTTAAACACCAACTTAGCTAAATCAGGACCATCAAAGACTTCAACTGTTTTTACTAAAGCCAATATTTAAATTAATAAATAATAGTGAAAATAATAACAATAAAACAATTAATTTCTTTTGTTTCTAAATAAAACACATTTTTGAGTTCATTTAAAAAATAAAAATACAAAAATATTGAGACTTATCGTTATTTAAGTCCAGCCAATTCTTGTCATTTTAATTATTATTAATAATACTAATATTATTTTAAAATAAAGCCAATTGTTTTTTAATAAATAGTAGTAAATCATAAATAATAAATATTGAGATTTTAATATATGATAAAAATAATAATAATAATACAAAACATTGACTTCTATTGTTTTTTAAAGAAGCTAATTCTTGCATTTTAATAATAATAAATTATAATACTACTACTACTAATAATAATAATAATACAAACACATTTATTTGTTTTTAAATGAAGCCAAATATTGTATTTTTATATTGCAAACTTTTGTCAGATTTAGCCAACTCATTTGAATATTTTTACCTTATACACACAGTGAGCCTTTAATGGCAGGCAGATGGGCTGTATGAATAATAGAGGTGTTGAGAAGAGATAATGTTTGTTTATATATACGTGTGTGCGTGTGTGTGTGTGTGTACGTGCAGAAGGCCTCGTTGAGTTGCATCACTCAGTAACCTCTTCTCAGCGTCAGTATTGTCAATCATTCACAAACATAACGTGGGTGGCCATGCACACAGTGTAAAATTACTATGAGTATGTTTAACGGCTCATTGTTTGAGTTACTAACAACAGTGAGCACAAGCAAACATCTTCAAATATTTGTGTACAGAGGAGACAATCACAGCCTCTCTTCCTGCACTGCTGTAATTCTCTTCATCACGACGCAGAGTTAAAAATAGGTATGTGCAAAACTATATATATCCAAAATCAATTAGACAGTGGTTTGTCTGAACAATTAGACGCTCTTGAAGATGTCCTGTATAATTATGCAGCTTTACAGTTACTCCACCAGACATATTTATTTAATATATAACCAAGCAAGCAGAGCCCTTCAGTACAGTGACCAACAGATATTTAACAAATAAACAGGCCAAATAACTATAAGGTTTTGTTTCATAAAAATATCAGTGCTCACAAAAATGAAGACCTACATATTATAAATAATAAGAGCTTTAAATCACAGCGGATGATTCAAAACCTGAAAGTAAATCATCTAAAACCCTCACTGAGAATCTGCATTGATACATCTTCAAAGCACTGCCGTTCAAAATATCAAAGCTAAATCTCCAGTTGTGGACCTCAATAACTGACTAGTCCTGACCTTTCACATAAAGCTTGCCGCATGATATTTCAAGCTTTCTATATATTTCTCATGACTTTGAGGTGAGAAGCCTATACGCCGAGTTTCGGTTAATTTTTTCTGCGACTGACTGACTAATAAAATTTCGACTATTAGGGGGCAGACCTAGTTTCTAGTTGAAAACGGTGTGGTGTAAACGGCCCCTTAGCTAAACTTTAGATTAATCTTGAACTAAATCTTGTTTTTAGATTTGGAGAGAGAAACTAATGGTGTAAGACTGGAAGAACTGGTTGATGGAATCAACCTCACCACAGGTCTATAAGACAAAGGATCTTGTTGGAAATTAACATTTGACTCCCTCCCCCTCTTCCTTTGAGCATCTCATCTACATTTTCTCTCTCTCTCTCTCAGTAACACTTAAAACTCACACAAGAATATATATATGGTTTTAATGTGAATGATTATCGTTAAGGATTGTGTTTAGTATCATTTTAAAGGTCTCAGGGTGACTGGTACAAATGTCTCATTCCAAAAGAAGTAAATCAAAAGGTAATAAAGTTCTTAAGAATATAGAAATATCTTGCACACAGAAGGGTGTGTTTTTGAGTTAACACCTTCTGACCATTTGTCTCATGTTTTACATATCAAATAAGGTCTGGCTATATAAGGAAAATGCAACGAGAGCTCAGGGCTCTTTCTGTATTTCAGATAGCCCGTGAGGTTAACACATGTAGTTCTTAAATGTTGGGTTTGCATCTATTTCTCTTATCCTAGAGCATTTGATGTTTTGTATTGATGATCTTTGAACTGATTATGAAATTGGCATAATACTTTTACCTGACATAATAAATTGTTATATTTGATTATTCTAACAGACTTTGACGTTATTTTCATTGGAGTTAAAAGGAATAGTCAAACATTAACGTATATTTAATGATGCACAGATATCATTGAAAAACCTTTTCATTTTATGGAGTCAGATGAAACGAGTTAATACATAAGATAAAATGTATTGCATTTAATTAAAAATCCAAGAACACGCGTGAGACCTTCACCGCTAATTTGAATTCCGCTATTGGATCGAATTAGACGGCCTTACAATGGTGTCGATTAAAAAAAAAAAATCTAAAAGCTAAATTTACAGTTTTTCTTGACTATCTAAAACCTTAAATTTAGACTATACAAAAATAAACATCAAAATGGTTTGTCTTATCTTAACATTAGAAAAATAATATTAAAAGATAAACCTATAAAAAAAAACATTTTGAATATATAAAATATTTAAAGCAAAATTTGAAACCTTCCTTGAAATCCTGTCTTCATTTGTCTATCATCTTATGTTTTACTAGTTGTTATGTCTATTTATTTTTCTTGATGTCAGGTCTTCGGATTGTGCCAAAACGTTAAGTTTAAGTTAAAGTGCAAATTGGAAACTCCTCACAAACTCCAAGTCCTTTTAGCACACACGCACAGGAGCGCAACAGAAGAAGTGGATCTTTAGCACATAGCTTGACACCTCAGAGAAAGCAGCATTAACATTTGATGAAGGTCAGTCAGCCCGCTCTCAGCTGGAGGCCTGGCTGGAGGCCATCTTCAACCGGTGCCAGGAAAGAAAGGTCTCCATGTTGGGAAGTCTACTTGCAAGCACAGTCAATGTATTAAATAATAATCATAATAATACAGCACATCCTGCTTCCAACACACACACACCATTGAGCGGCTTTAAATAATAAACAACAAAAAGCCACACAAACAGATGCCCGACATATTTAACAGCCTCAAACTGCTGCTAGTGTGCTCTTCATAATCTATTAATGAATCTCCTTCCCGCTGTGAATAATCTACACCGGGTGAACTAACTTCAGACATTTTAACCGGAGAGCTTGAACTTGACAAGTTAATTCCATGACAGTTCAAGCAAACAAAGTTCACACTCTCAGAAGCGTAAATGCCAAAAAAGTTCAAAGTGCACCCAATTATGCTTTTTCAGATATTACCTTTCATGTAGCGGTAATATAGCTGTTTGTGAACGTAAAAGTTCTGCAAAGTTTCAAAGATTAAAGTGTCTCTCGAAAGAAAGAACCGATTCTGAAGTCGTCGGCAAAAAAAAGAAAAAAAAGTCGTCTTACTTCCTGCTCGAACCTACGTAGGTATGTAACAAATTTGCATAATTATATGGTTTTTGCGTTGTATATCATAAAAAATAAAAGTTTTTTTTTTTTTTCATTCATCTTGGATGCATGTAAATCTATTGTAGGAGACCTCCAAAACAAAATCACGAACCTTTAAACTAACATGAAGAATATTTTTGTGATGTTATGTGGTTCCCCGCATTTATTTAGTGGATTATCATAGTTTTGAACGTTCATTATAGAAGAAACAATGTGTGAGGTCTGAAATTCACTGAATCACTGAAAGGTTGAGGTGTGCATGTGATGTTTAACCATCATGAGCTGAATGGTCTAATGATTGTTTAGAGGCCAATAATAACAACAACAAATCCAAGAAAGAGACCGAGAGAATGAATGAAGGAATACGTGATGGATGACTGTTCCACTGTGGGAAAAAGTACAACTCTGCACTTAGGAAGTCATCTGGATTTGGCATGTGAAAAGCTCCAAAAATCTAAGATGAGCTTCATCCAGGTGATAACAATTTAACACAGGGCAAAATCACCAAGCTAATGGACGGGAAAGCGCGTGCAGACATATTTTTCGTAGTTAAACCTGCTTTATTGGCAATAACCTCCATTAAATGCTTTTTATTGCTCCTTTACTTCAGTTGCGCAACACTTACAAGGTATTTTGGCTCAGTTCTTTATACAAAACAGTTGCAGCCTATTTTTGGGATGCCTTTCTTGAGAGTTTCAAGTCAAGACAAGATACTTTTTCTTTCTTTCTTTTTTCCCCTCGAAAAAATCTAAACATACAGAAACAGCCTCTTTTTTACTGTAGCTTCTGCATTTTGAATTCTTCCAGAAGCAACCGGCACATATACATGTATCAAAAGTGCAACTTTTTTTCTTGAATCTTCAACTTTCCTCTCTTATCTTGAAGGGAAATGAAATTGGGACACAATTGCCCACATCAGCACATATAGCAGTTAATTATTACTATTTCTGATAACTGTTTTTCTCATCTACACTATTGTTCAAAAGTTTGGGGTCAGTAAAATTGTATTTAAAGAAATTAATACTTTCATTCAGCAAAGAAGAATTAAATTGAACAAAAGTGACATGAAATGCAATTATAATGCTACAAAGGATTTTGTTTTACTTTACATTCAAAGAATCCTGAAATTGTTTCCACAAAAATATTAAGCAGCACATCCGTTTCCAAATGATAATAATAGGAAATGTTACTTCAGCAAATCAGCATATTAGAATGATTTCTGAATGATCATGTGACACTGAAGACTGGAGTAATGATGCTGAAAATCGCTTTGTCATCAGGAATAAATTACATTAAATATATATATATATATATATATATATATATATACACTCACCGGCCACTTTATTAGGTACACCTGTCCAACTGCTCGTTAACACTTAATTTCTAAGCAGCCAATCACATGGCGGCAACTCAGTGCATTTAGGCATGTAGACATGGTCAAGACAATCTCCTGCAGTTCAAACCGAGCATCAGTATGGGGAAGAAAGGTGATTTGAGTGACTTTGAACGTGGCATGATTGTTGGTGCCAGAAGGGCTGGTCTGAGTATTTCAGAAACTGCTAATCTACTGGGATTTTCACGCACAACCATCTCTAGGGTTTACAGAGAATGGTCCGAAAAAGAAAAAACATCCAGTGAGCGGCAGTTCTGTGGGCGGAAATGCCTTGTTGATGCCAGAGGTCAGAGGAGAATGGCCAGACTGGTTCGAGCTGATAGAAGGGCAACAGTGACTGAAATAACCACTCGTTACAACCGAGGTATGCAGCAAAGCATTTGTGAAGCCACAACACGCACAATCTTGAGGCGGATGGGCTACAACAGCAGAAGACTCCACCGGGTACCACTCATCTCCACTACAAATAGGAAAAAGAGGCTACAATTTGCAAGAGCTCACCAAAATTGAACAGTTGAAGACTGGAAAAATGTTGCCTGGTCTGATGAGTCTCGATTTCTGTTGAGACATTCAGATGTTAGAGTCAGAATTTGGCGTAAACAGAATGAGAACATGGAACCATCATGCCTTGTTACCACTGTGCAGGCTGGTGGTGGTGGTGTAATGGTGTGGGGGATGTTTTCCTGGCACACTTTAGGCCCCTTAGTGCCAATTGGGCATCGTTTAAATGCCACGGCCTACCTGAGCATTGTTTCTGACCATGTCCATCCCTTTATGGCCACCATGTACCCATCCTCTGATGGCTACTTCCACCATGTCACAAAGCTCTAATCATTTCAAATTGGTTTCTTGAACATGACAATGAGTTGTACTAAAATGGCCTCCACAGTCACCAGATCTCAACCCAATAGAGCATCTTTGGGATGTGGTGGAACGGGAGATTCGCATCATGGATGTGCAGCCGACAAATCTGCGGCAACTGTGTGATGCCATCATGTCAATATGGACCAAACTCCCTGAGGAATGCTTCCAGCACCTTGTTGAATCTATGCCACGAAGAATTGAGGCAGTTCTGAAGGCAAAAGGGGGTCCAACCCGTTACTAGCATGGGGTACCTAATAAAGTGGCCGGTGAGTGTATATATAAATAAATATATATTAAACAGTTTTACATTTACAGCATTTTTGATCAAATAAATTTAGCTTAGGTGAGCATAAAATACTTTTTTCAAAAACATTTTTAAACAAAAAATCTTACCGACTAAACTTTTGATCGCTAGTGTCAAAACTTCTACATCTAAAACCAAAACCTTCTTTTGAGGTCCTCTGAAATCATTTCTGATAAGGCCATAGCGCACAACATAGATGATCAGCTGGGCTGTACCCAAACATCATCATATAGCCCTGATAAACTGTTTTGTAAGCCAGCAGTTCTGTTGAGTCAATTCTTCAAATTTAGCATGTGACAAAAGAAGGCAATGCCAAACCCACACGCTCATGCTGCAAGCCAAAGCCTGTTTTCTTAAACCGCTTAAAACACCTCGTCTGTCCAATTGGCTGCAAGCCGTGACCCAGGTAAGGATCAGGTGATTAGGAGTCGGTTTGTGCCGTTACCTGCAGTATGAGGATGAAGTAGTCCACGGGTTTGCCGCGCAGGTAAAGGTAGTGATGCGGCGATTTCTTTTCGTTCTCGTTGAACTTGATCTCCTGGATCACATCAGGGTGTTTAAGGATACGCAGAAGGATTTTCTCTGATATCAGAGATGGACTGAACAAATTAACCTCTGCGGAGACACAGGCGACAGAGACAGAAACAGACAGACAAGAGATGTCAAATTTATAGACCATTTTGCTTAATTTAAGATGCATATTGTCTTACTTTTTGAGAAACCTGACCTGTAACACTTTACAATAAGATTAAACATGTTGGTTTGTGGTACTTTATATTAGGGTTTCATTTCTTAACATTAGTTAACTACATTAGGAAACATGAACTAACAATGAAAAATTTTTAAAGGGGCACTTGGCAACTCTAGCCATTTCTTGGCTGATTTTCACTTTTGTTGTCGCATGTGTTCTCATCTAGCTCCCCCTACAGCTGTGCGGCGTATATTTTCACAACACTGTCATAAAAAAACTCACTTGCGGCACCTTCCTCCCGCTTTCTTCCGCTGCTTATGTGCAGTTGTTATTATCGGAGCCGGCCAACTTTATCGTGTGGAGCTATGTCTACCGAGGTGGGTAATAATACATCATACACAGTATCATAGAATTATGTCGAATTGCCATAAAGCAGTTCGTGTTTTTCGCTCGTTCTCGCTTCTCACGAGACTTCCTATTTCCAACTTACCGGGATGTTATGGTGCGTTCACGTGCTATGGTAATTATGGTAAATACCAAAAGCCGACATGGAAAATGCACATGAACACCCCCTCATGTGGTATTTTCCACTGGGCAACTCGTAGAATATTTTGATGCACGAGTTGCCGAGATGAGATTACCTTTGACCTTTTCAAAATGGCGGAGAGCAACGCAAGAGTTGTGAATGGTAAAAATATGTCCTATTCATGATCTAGAAAATATACAGCATATTATTTACCGTTTGAGTTTTGATAAATCATTTTCTTGCTGTAGCAGATGACTTAAGCAATCTAAAATAGTTTTAGCTAAATAACAGGTGTGGATCTCCATCTTTTTACCACATTACGACAACAAAAGCACTTGAACGCAACACACTGGTAAATACCAGTTCACAAGTGGAAAATATCATATTTTCCATAGCACATGAACGCACCATTAGTCCCCATGTTGCAAGGTTGGTTTTCCGCCTGGGGACGCTGGGGGGAATGAGGAAAGTCACCATTCTCTCCAGAACAGATTATTGAACCATTCAAATTATTTCTAAACGGTTTTATTAAATTGAAATAGTTGCCAAGTGCCCCTTTAATCTAATGGTTTAATCTTAAGTTTACACGATAACGATGTACTAACAACGGAAACTTTTTTCTTTGTGTTTTCCCGTTTTCAAAAGTTTGATTTTTAAGGCCCCCAAAACATTGTTGTCATGTAAATGGCCGGAATAAAATGCATAAAAAGTTAATAGTTTTTAGTTAAAACGGTGTCATGTTAACAGCCCCTTAAGGTTAATTCAAACATTTACTAAAATATTATTAAAATCAAAAGTTGCATCTGTTAATATTATTTAATGGACCTGAGCTAACATGAACAAACAATGAACAGTTGTATTTTTATTAACTAAAAATGTATGAATACTGTAATAAATGTAATGCTGATTGTTAGTTAAAGCATTAACTAACGGGACCTGATTATAAAGTGTTACAAATGTAACAAATTGAACCAACAAGGTAAATGTAAATCCATGCCAGCATCCAAGGCTATTTTCATGGCAAAAAACTGGGTAAACATTACAAATTTTAATCTAGGTTAACATCAATTTCAACACCTCGAGATTTCACGTAGTGAAACTGCGCAAAGCTTCTTTGTTCCACGTCACACGTAGAATCACTATTGGCCGACGCTGGTCATGTGTGTGATGCGTGTGACGTACAACCTAGAAGCGCTGGTCAGTTCCACTACGTGAAATCTCGAGGCCCACAGAGAAGGAAATGAATAGTTGAATAAAGTCGTTATTTTTGTTTGTTTTTTGCGCACAAAAAGTATTCTCGTCGCTTGATAAACTTAAGATTGAGCCACTGTAGTCACTCGGACTATTTTAAAAATGTCTTTAACTTTTCTCGGCCAGCAAGTTTCGATCCCTTAAGAAGCCTATGGAGGAGTGATCCAGCTCTCAGATTTAATCACAAATATCTTAATTTGTGTTCCGAAGATGAACGAAAGTCTTACGGGGTTGGAACAACATGAGGGTGAGTAATTACTGACAGAATTTTCATTTTGGGGTGAACTAACCCTTTAAGCATGTTTTCTTGTACAGGTAAAATAGGCCAAAAAAAGGCAAGGCAAGGTACACATACTGTTACACTCAGTCTGGTGATTGTTTACCTGTTGCTAGGAAGCGGTGAGCGGCCAGTAGCAGCTGAGGAGAGATCTTGACTTTAGACTCACTCTCATGTTTGAAGGCAGAGAAGTCTCGCTTGTTCTTATTGTGTGCCACTTTCTTTCTGTTGCGGTTATCAGCTGCAAAAAATACACAGACACAAACTGATATGAGCAGAACTGGAGCAGAACACTGAGGAATTTATAACAGAAGTCAGATGACTTAATTCCTCCAACAACAACAACAACAAAATCACATTGGTACCATGAAAACTCTAACATCATGAACATGATGATATGGGCTTTTTTCAAAAAAATGCTGAGTGCATGTCTCTGTCATTTCGTAAGCATACGTGAAATGTTGTGTGATGCAGCACAGCAAGAGGAAGTCAAATGTATGTGTGTTGAAAAACTGAGATGTGCAAATGCTGTGTGATTTTATTTAAAGATAGAGACACTGCCCACTCACTGTAGAGGTCAGACTCGTCCAGGATTTCTGATTTGATGATCTCCTCGATGACATCTTCCAGGGTGACCAATCCCAGCACCTCATAGAAAGGATCTCCCTCCCCCTCATTATTCACTTTCTGAACAATCGCCAAGTGTGATTTACCTGCAGAAGATTTAATTATAAGTTACTCTTTCAATAAATAGCTGTTAATAAATAATGAAAATAATAAACATATTCATTCAGTCAAATAACACTCAAAGAGCTTTAGTATTAAAGGGGTTATCGGATGCCCATTTTCCACAACTTGGTATGATTCTTTAGGGTCTTCATGTAAAGTTTGTAACATACTTTGGTTAAAATTCTTCAATGGTTGTGTAAAACAAAACCCTTTTTACCTCCTCAAAAACAGCTCAGTTTCAGTGCATGTCTCTTTAAATGATAATGAGCAACTGCTCACCCCACCCCTCTCTTCCATGGGGGGTGTCGACACAAGACACGTAAAGTGCTGCCTTGGCGGACAGTATACAAATGGCTGAGGGTGGAAATATGCTAATACGGGACAGTCCGTCAGTGGTTGTGGGCGGAGCATGAGCAATATGACATCATAGTGCCCAGAAAATCCAAACGGATTGATTATTGAGAGTGTTTAGACTTTGAGGATAAAAAAAAAGGAGAGAATTGATTTTTTCCCATTGTATGGTGGTTGTGTCCACACTGCAAAGACACATATATATGCAAACACCATATAAAAGCGATTTTTGCATCCGATGACCCCTTTAAAGCAGGAAATACATTCGCAAATAAGAAATCAAGCAGTAATGGTTTGATAGAGCTTTGCATAAAGATAACATTGTAATATTATATGAATTGTATATTTTATCATTTAATATACTTAATAGTTATATTATATTATGATTAATTCTTTTCTGCATATACCAACGCATTTATAACATTTAAACAGAGCCTGAATTTCAGCATGGGATTGCAGGCATTGCGCACAAATTTAGACATTCCTACAGTTATCGCAATAATAAAGAAAGCAATTCCAGCAAACATTTATGGATTTATAGCATGTTAAATGAGTAAATTAATCCAAGCAGATTATCAGAGAAAATAAGTCATTTGAAAACTTTCTGTGAGACGCAATTTCACAAACAGTGCGAGTGATGCAGCGGTACCGTGCCTTCTCTCTCTCTCTCTCAAAATGCAAAAAGATCTTCACATCACCCCATAGTTGCGTCTGCACTGCAAGCGAGCTGCACGCTGCGATTCAAGACTTTCACTCGCAAAACACTCTCTGAGAGACTCTCAGCCAAAGCGCACACACATAAAGCCACTCAGCTTGCTCGCTCGCTCAAATTGATTTCAAATTATGAGGCTTATTGCGCTTAAAGCAGCACCAAGTAACTTTTCCTCTGCGGTCGCCCTACAGGTTGGAAGCGGAATTGTCCATTACCGCTGTCGTAAATAATTTAGCCTACGCAGCCTACTGTCACACAAACGCTTGTTTATCCAGCAGCGGCTTTGTCCACAGACAAGGTATATGTTGCATGATTTCATGAAAGTATGATGTATGGCGACATCAGAAACGAAGAAAAACAAAATAATGACTATTGTAACGCTTGACGTAAAGCAAGTCAAATTTGTAGTTTTCTTCTGTCTCATTAGAACTACAGAAACACAACCCGATCTGGCAATCTTAAATAGCGTGGATATATCAGATAAAGGACCGCAAAGCGAATCCAGAAGTGCCTTTCACCCTGTTACGACTTAATGAACTACTGAAACGATTTTGGAAACATTATTTTAAGGTATAAAAATCTTACTTAGTGTTGCTTTAGATGGTCAAATACTCACACAAAAATGGCAAAATACCTGTCTTGGCAAGTATTCACGTTCACACTGTCAGTTATGTCTTAAAGGGCATATTGCAGGTTAGAGGACCCAACGAGTCAATGTATAGAAAAATAATGTAGGAACTAGATTTTCTTTAAAATATTCTTATAAATACGCTACAGAAGCTTCTGGAGTCGTTTTTGTGAGAAAATTTTACTTCCGCGTCTGAAAATGGGTGTGGCGGGCGTGACGTAACGGGCGGGAGAGCGGTCGATTCAAACAACAGGAAAACAATGGATCGCAATGACATTTCGGACGCTGAGGAAATACTTACTCGTATGACGGACTACAGCCATACAATTATGAGCCTGCTATGCTGCCAAGAGAGTAGGGACAGGCCAGGATTAATGTTAGACAGAACGGTCAGAGACACATTGAGTTGTGGTGTGAGGAGAACCAGTGGAGAACAGGACAGGTGTCTTGGTGAGAGACGTGCTTATAGATACACGTTCGCTAACGATATACACTGCTCACAATATTGTACAGGTTATTACCATCGTATATCAGGCCAGCAGACATTAGTATGTTTAGGGTAGATGTATACTATTAAATGTATAAAAACTATACTTGAGTATATTTCTATTGTAAGTTACTAAAAACATACTCAAGTACATTTTTAAAACATATTTTTCATCTGGGTTATAACATAAACAGAAAATTTAAGATTTGAATATTTAATCAACCTAGTAATTTTCTTTTTCAATTACAAGTTGCCTCTATTTAGGGCATGACTACCTATATCACACTATTTGATGCCATTGGTACAGTATACGACGATCAATATTCTTGCTTCGGCATCCCATGTTGAACTCCATCATATCGCCGGGATGATAATCCTCCGATCTGAAGTGAACGCTACACACGATCTGAAGTGAAAGCTACACACGACCGCGTTTCTCGAAGCCGATGCGGAAGAGAAATCACGTCTCTTCACCTGCACAAACCGCACCAGGCACGAAAGATATACAGCAGCACCGTTTTTCTTGTTATGGAAACCTGTGGACTCGATGTCCTGACAGGCCGGAGTTTTTGCAACCTCCACAAACACAATAATTTACCATGACGATGATAGATTGAAATACAAAAACTACCGAAAACACACTGACTCACGGCCGCTCTCACTGAATGCCAGCCTACTCTGCACTGAGCCGAGGCTGAGGCTCCCTAGCGTGACGTAAAATGACGCGATGGTGAAAAAAAAAGCCGTTTTTACGAGCAGTCAAAGAAACGCTCACTTTATCTACTAAATTAGTGCCCTTATGTCGTTTTAAAACATTTTAAATCCTGCATTACCTTTTCATATGGTATTTTCATACAAGGTTATATATTAATTTAGATTTTTTTTTTACCTGCAATATGCTCTTTAAGTGAATGAATGTAAACAGCTAGGAAAGAAAACGCATGTGCATCAGTATACTGGATCCATGCATTAACTCTTAAAGTGACAGCAGCCTAATAAACCTGCTTCTGTCTGCCAATGTTAATCAAACAACAAAAGAAAAAGAGAATCACTCACTCCTCAACTGAACAACTTTTTCAGCTTTAATAAGGGATAATTTATATTTAATCAGTTAAGGCTATGCAGTTATTTTATATTTGACTATCCAATTTCTGTGGCATTTCTTCCTTGAATACTGTTAGACCTACCTGAAAAACGTACAGTGCTGTTTATTTAATTTCTATCTTTATTCTATTGTATTTATTTGTGCTAATGGTTGTTATTTATTTGTTCTTGTTTTATTATTACTGACTCAAAGTTTGAAATCAAGCTTCCTTGTGCTGTCTAAATGCTATTGCAACAAAATTACCCCATTGTAAAAAACACAGAGTGAGCAACCCCCCCCCCCCCCCCAAATTAAAAATTCCCCCCAAAAAGAGTCACTTAAGGGGGGAACCCTGTACGCTTTTGCTCAATTAAGTGACAAACCACAGTAGGCTACTGTAGCACACCGCTTACTATATCTTGTTTCTTTGTAAATAAATAGTGTCATGGACAAACAGAAAGAGCTAAGGGTTCACACAGTTTATAAGACGTCTATTGTTGCCATTCAGCACACAAAGAGCCAGGAAATCCTACAGCATTTGCTCATCAAAACAAAAATCCAGGAATTCTGCGTAGACAAAACACCCTGTTGCACTGACATAAGGAGCCAAAACAGTGAATTGCGAAACATAATTTAGCATCTACAAAATATTTAAACTCGTCTTGTCCAAAACCACAAAAACACTTCCTATCTTCTACCACAGAAGCTTTGACTGCAAATGTTTAGACCATTGAACAATCACTGGAGAAAGAAGATTTCACTGCAATGTGGCATGACATGAAAAATCATGATATTTATTTTATTTAAAGCTAAGATTTAACGGGTTCAATGCCATTCAAAGTTCGGGATCACTAAATTCAGCAAGAATGCTTCAAATTGATCTAAAATTACAAAAAAGACTGTTTAAAAAAATAATTCCCATTAACGTTCTTTAGAATGTTGTTTTAATCAAATTATCCGGAAAAAAAGTCACTTTCCACACTTCATTAAGCAACACAACCATTTTCAACTAATAATAAAAGGAAAGTTTCTAGAGCATCCAATCATAATATTATAATATTTTTTTCAGGATCACTAAAGACTTGATTAATGGCTGCTGAAAATTCAGCTTCACCACTACAGAAAAAAAAATACAAATTAAAACAATAAAATAGAAAACAGAAAATAAATTCTTCATCAAAAAGTATACCGAAAAAAAATCTACAACTGTACAAATAAAATGTATAACTGAATAAATATATATATTAAAAATATATATTTTATATAATATTTCACAGTTTTACTGTATTTTGATCAAATAAATGCAGCATTGGTGAGCATAAGAGACTTCTTCCAATAAAATTAAATAAAAATCTTACTTCTTAGTGTGTACATACACAATGTTATTTTAAATTGTAATAATATTTCCCAAAATGACAACTTTATATATGAACGGTCCAACATACGTTTTTTTCATCAACTTCTGAACGCTAGTGTACTTTCAAGAATAATATGATAAAAGTCCCCAAAAACAACAATAGTACTATGGGGTATGTCCAAAAACATGCAGTAGAATGATAGTTGTTTTACTGTTTTCAACAGATTTCAAAGTCAATCAAAGACAGCATGGTATTACCATGGTGCATTATCTAAATCATATCGTGGTAGCAACATGGTACCACATCTAAACAATGCATGGTAATACCACAGTACTTTTCAGTTAGCGGACATGGAATGAAGAGT